TTACATTGTGGGGAATCGAACCCTCACCAGCAAGGTGGGAGTTCAGGAAGCCAACCAACTGAGCTACCAAGATTCCCTCGGAAGCTGCCTGGTTAAAATCATTATTTATTGTTTTTAGTTTGTCCCCTAATGATCCCTGTTATTGAGCATTGTTACTCTCAACTGCAGCCAGAAGTAGTTGAAAAGATTGTGAGTCTGCGAGAAGGCATACCACGAAAAGACGCAAAAGAGGTATATATGTGTTATCTTACTGGCACACATGTTCAAAATTTTATTACAGAATTGAACTATTTGAGAAAGTCTACTCATCAACTTATCAAAAATAAGATGTTGCTACTCATTAGCAGTTCTTTTGTTTGCTCTTTTCTATATTAAATCCCTGCCAATGCATTAAATGAAGTTATGTTATTTTAGTAAGTTGTGATTATGTATCATTGCTTTGGGGATACATCATTTATTTTTTCTTGTTTCACCATACTTCTGATAAATATCCATTCTTAGCTATAAGTATATTCATCATGTATAAAGCAGAAACTTGTCAGTTGTGGGTGTTCTTTATGCCCAAAACCCATGTTTGCAGATTTCTCCAAAATATTTGTCTATCCCTTGTCGACATTTATTGCAAGAACAGTGATATTGCTCTTGAATCTCATGCATTTACAGCGTCCCCATGTATAAGTGAGCTCTTCAAAGAATGTTCATCGCCTTTGAGAAGATAACTTGGTTTGTTTCTCTTTATTGCTTTCTTGATGGGGATTTCTTTGTGATATAGGTTGTTCAAGAATGCAAAGAAATCTATGAAAATTCTCTGGTAGATGGAAATCCTCCAAAAACAGGTTTTGTTTTCCCCAGGGTGAAGTCCTTATCAGCGGCAAAACATTCAATATGGCGAAAGCTCACCTAGACAGATGCTGCAACAAATCGTTTGTTTCAGTCACTGAGTATTTCCTGTACATGCCTTACGTCATAAATGTACAGATTGGGACTATATTTTCTGTCTTCATATGATTTGATTTATTTAGCTCATTTGTTCGGATTGTAGTTGCCTTTGCCAAATATGTATTCATTCCTTTATCTTTTTATCTACTACCAATTTTGCAACCGTTAGGGTCACAGCGTACTTGCTCCGGTTCTACTTGTAATGATTGTTAAATAATAGGTCAGCTGAGTTCATTCTCTCTCTCTCTTGATTCTTGAAATGTTTCAACTATGAACAGATCGATCCCTTTTGTTGTAGCATAAAGGCTCGTAAATTTGTTAGTATTGCAAACTTTGTATGTGTTCAAAGGGATTCAATTATGGTCGATCTCAACTAATCTAGAATCAAGGTGTAATCATTGTTGTTCCAAACAAATAAAGCTCTAGCCAATGAACATGTGATTTAGGGAAAACAAGTGATAGGAGGAAGAAGAGACGGAAGCCAAATTTAATCAAAAGAATTAACATATAAATAATATGGAAGTTCAGATATTCCGCATTATGCTTGCTTTAATCATGTCAAAAGTGAGGAAAAAAGGGATAAAGTTCACACAAACAAAACACAACTTGTACTTAAACACCTTTTAAAATATATAACATATGGGGAATGCTTCCCACTTGTTCCACTTGACCAAACCACAAATAAGACACAAAAAACACTCATTTTAACTCACTAATTTACTAATTAACTTATCTTAGTGCTAATCAGTGCTGTCTTATCTTGTCAATAAACAAACATTAAACTTATTTCATTTCATCACTATATAAATCCCATCTCATTTTTTCCACACTCAACCCTCATTATTTAATTAAAAAGAAAAAAAAATGGAAAATATTACTAATATTCCTAAATTGCATGTTAGAAATTTAGTTAGAAGAAGTTCAAGACATTCAACAAAATATCATGGTGTAAGAAGAAGGCCATGGGGTAGATATGCTGCTGAGATTAGAAATCCAAATACAAAACAAAGGCATTGGCTTGGCACATTTGATACCGCTGAAGAAGCTGCTCTAGCTTATGATATTTCTTCTATTGCTTTTTGTGGTATCGAAAATGCACGTACTAATTTTGTCTACCCTTTTTCGTCTTTTCCTTCACCTTATAATAATTCTACGGCACCACCATCACCACCACCTCTGCCACCACCACCGTCACCACCGTCAACGCCGGAGTTGGAAGTGGTTGAAAATAATTGCATGAAGATTGAGATGAATGATGATATTAATGATGATGATGAGTCTCTTGTTATTGCTTCCATTTTACAAAGTTTTCGTTATACAAACACACTAGATAAGCTCGCTCTTTGAGGATATCTTCAACAGTTTTGAATACTTTTTTTTCTTAATATTATTTGTTGAAAATGCTATGGAAAAAATTAAAAGATATTTCCTCATTGATGCAAAATTATTTAACATATTTGATCTTTAAATTAGTTGAGATTTATTCTTTTCGACCTTCCAATAACAAAGCTACAACAATGTTAACCAATTATTAACCTTAGTTTTAACGCCAACGACAACAAAAAATCACTATTGGAGGTAGTGACATAAAGGAAATTTAGATGAAGGGGAGTTGCTCGGATGGCAAGCACCCCTCACTTTCAACCCAAAGGTTGCGAGTTCGAGTCACCAAGGGAGCAAAAAAGGGTAGGAGCTCCTAGGAGGGTTAAAAAAAAAACATAAAGGAAATTTCAACATTCGTGTATGCATTTTGATTTTTCTGTAAAAGAAGATTCAGATGACCCCTTATACACCTATAGGCTATAGGATCAGAGGCGTTGACATATTCAAGAGTTTAACATCATTGTAGGTCTTAAATTGCAAGTGTGACCTCTGTACATGTTTTTATCCATTTGTAAGGAGTTTGAATTGAAAATAATAATTTTAGCCGAATCAACACTTCTACTGTTCTACGTAAATAGATATAGTGTTTACTAGCCACTTTTTAATTATGTTTTAAAAAATAATTACTTTTATGAAATTTCAATCGTAAAATTGCAAGCTTCAAGATAATGACTATTTTTCAATTATAAAACCAGAAAATTACTATTTTCCACACTAAAATTTGGAAGGATAATAAAGCATTTGTAGTGTTCAACAGATGATCTGAATGGGTATATTAGAATTTTTGACCAAAGTAAGCTATTATAAAAATTAATTTACCAAAATAATACGTTTTTTAAATTTTTTACAAAACTAGTAGTTATATTTTATTCAAAAAAAATGAATAACAAAAAGATAAAATTCTGACAGAGTAAACAGACATAAAACGTTATTGTCAGTAACGTTTTATAATTCGTTACTCTGAAGCACATTTTACAGCTAAAACATGACTCACAGTAACATTTCTCAATGGTGAAAATTGAAATCCAATCTTGTACATCTCTCATTCATTATTCAAATTTCCACTATTAAAATGGATAAATATATTTTGTACATACCTTCATTTGAAATATATATGATTTTCTCTTTTCTTTCTCTTTTCACATAGACAATACTTTTTTTAAACAAAAGGAAAAAAAAAGTGAGGATGACTTTACACAAATTGGAGCTTGTCTTGTATCATTTCAATTTCAAAATTTGTAAATAAATCATATATATGAGAGATCTTATTAATTCAGGCATAAGATAGCATCCCTTCCAAATATTAGACCAATCGGTTTCTTATCATTATTAAATATTAGACTTTCAATAAAGAAGTTATTGAATTAAAATTGATATAATAAGTAAGCAAACCAACTATTAAAAAAAATTATAATGGCTACATCATAATAGAAGAGACAAAGAAATTAATTGATATTGTAGTAAAGCCTCCTCACAACTTATTTTCCTTGCAAAAGTATTATCTATGTATGAAAAGAGAAGAAAAGAGAAATTTATATATGTGAATATATATGTGCAAAATATATATATTCATTTTAATAGTGGAAAGTTTAATAAAGTTGAATGAGGCATGCACAGGATTGTTTTTTTAATTTTCAGTCATTCCAGAAAAATGTTACTGTGAGTCACGTTTTAACTGTAAAACGTGCCTCATAGTAACGAATTATAAAACGTTACTGACAATAACGTTTTATGTCTGTTTAATCTGTCAGATTTTTATCTTTTTGTTATTGAATTTTTTAAAATAAAATATAACCTAAAACATGACTGCGAACTACATTTATACTAATTTTATAAAATTTCAAAAAAATATATTATTTTGGTAAATTAATTTTAATAATGACTTACTTTGATAAAAAAAATGGGTATATTATATAGTCTACTCAACAGTCAACTGAAAGAAGAGTCAAATAAACCAAAAATGCCACTATTTCATGTCTGACAAAATAAATGTGGATGGGCCATATTGTATTAATGTTTTTGAAGATATTCAATCTTTTAATACACCCTGCAGTTATTGTTGCTAGTCATATGAATGACTAATGAACCAAATATTCATGCTTTTTCAATAATAATCTCATCTATATAATTCGTATTCTTTATTTCCTTCGTCTCAAAATAATTGTCTCAAATTATTTATTAATATAGATATTATTCAATTGAGAGCCTAGCAAAAAATATTTTTTTTTACCTTCTCATAGGTAATTACAGTATAGACATAATTATCTCAAATTATTTATTATTGTAGATATTACTCGGTTGAGAGTCTAACAATTTTTTTATTTTTTTACCTTCTCATAGATAATTAGAGTAAGGTTTATGTATATTTTATCCTCTTCAGATTTATTATTATGGTTTAGAAGTTCAAGATGGTCCCATATGAGACTTTGTATCGAAGATAGTACCGTTCCCTAATTGAGAATCATTTGAACCTGATAAAAGAAAGTTATTGAGTTCGATCAAATTGAAAATCATTTGAACATGATGAAACAAAGTTATTGAGTTCAATCAAATTTCGAAGAGCAGTAGTAAGCAGTAGAAGAAGATTTCATCCCCTTAATCAATACAGAATTGGAAATCAAAATTCGACAAATACTCAACTTGTAGATTTAATTATGTACTAATAATTAGCTTGCAAATATGAAAAATCCTTATAATATCTTACAATATATGTATATAAACAAATAATTAAAGGACCTAATAGAATTAAACACGGAAATCAAACCAAGATAAAAGAGCAATACGACTAGACCTAAGTCTAAAAATTGACCATATCTATGAAGAGCAGAGACATTTTGGACCGATTACTACGACTATATATGTCTATCTAGTGCCATGGCTTAGAAATAATCAAGTTTATCTTTCAAAATTCTAAATAATTTACCGATTAAAATGACCTTCAACTAAATTAAGTGTTGATATATTGTCAACTAATTATTTAATTGTTCTGAGGAGGAGGTCCACTGCCAACTTTAGGTCTTGATGGTGGTCTTCCCCTCCTTTCTGTTGCTAATATCTGCGTACACAACCAAAATAAAACAAATCATAATGACTTTAATATGTGGACATGAATTATTAAATACATTCGACTCTCGAAATTCAAATAATATTATATAAATTGAGATATATGAATCAACTTTCTGAACTATATCACCTAAATTAAGAGGAAGTATAACAAGTGTTAAAAAACCCTAACTTTGGTAGATGACAAAATGTTAAGCGTTAACACCTCCTTGGCACAAATAATAATGTGATAGTTTGAAACAAATAAATAAGACATGATTTAAATATGAAACAAATAAAAATGTGATAATTTAAAAGGGTTGATCTGAAAGTTTTAGTCTATGAGGTCACATAAATAAGACATAATTTAAATATGAAAGATACCAAAAAAAAAATAAAAAAATTAGGAGGGTTTTGATTCATTATTTAAAAAAAAAAAGAAATATGTGTAAGACTTTGGTTTTGCATGTCGCTATATCTCATTTTTTTGCTAAAATAAATACTTAATAATTGGAAATAATTCTAATAAAATGAAAAAGATAAATATAGAAACTGCATAATTGGAAATAATTCTAATAAAATAAATATAGAAACTGCATAATTGGAAATAATTCTAATAAAATGAATAAGATAAATATAGAAACTGCATATTCTATCATATTTTATGTTTTATGTTTCGGTAAAATAAGACATATTTCTTGAAACTCAAAGAGAGAGAGAGAGAGAGAGAGAGAGAGAGAGAGAGAGAGAGAGAAGCAGCTATTATTTTCATCAAAATACTATTCAACAACCGACACATTCTAGAGAATTTCAGTTTTTTTTAATAATAAAAATTATGACCTTTTTATTTTAATTTTAAAGGAGGTGTTTAGTGATGAAAATTTTTCATTTTTTTGAGGTTAAGCTTTGAAATGTTGTCATAAAATTTGAAACTCAATTACTTTAGAATTTACAAAAATTAAAAAATAATAAAAAGGTATTTTCACTTTTTTCGCTCTAAATCACACAAAAAAAATTAATAACATATTTAATTTATATTCATAACCAAATACAATTTCAAAAATCATTTTGTACCTTAAAAATAAAAATTAATTTTTTTCTTTCAAATTTCGTAATAAGATATGGTCAAACATCAGCTAACAGTAATGTAACATTATATACAGAAGTGTATGTAGTGGATTAAGTTACTATACATCAAATCCCTTTCGTTAGAAAATTATTTATTACGCAGATATCAAATCTTCTTGAGTTTTCTTTGTAATAAATAATCATATGAGATCATTTTTTCGTTTTTTATATTTTAAATTTTCTCTATGAAAATATTAATTTAAAGAGAACAGTTTAATGTAAATTAATGACAATAATAATAGGCTTAGTGTAATTTGTAAAGAATGATGTGTACCAGTCTTGTTCGTACTTTTTTGAAAATAGAAAGACTGTTTCCGATTTAATAAAAGGTGAGAAAAGCAGTAGATCAACTTACAAGTGTCTCTGATTGAGGTGGATCTTCATCATCATTTTCAACTGGAGGGTCATTCTTGTAATTATCATTTGTTGAATCTGAACCTTGCTTATTACCATCTTCTTGGAACAACACACACTCTTGTTCTTGTTTTTCACTCTCTTCTTCTTCTTTTTTATTAGTATCTGACATACTTGAAGAAGAAGAAGACGATGATGATGATGCTTGATGAACAAGTTTTGAAGATTCAAAACCAAGGCATTTTAGAATAGCTTTAATGCCTTCTTGTAAGTAAAACATTGGATTCTTGGTGATAACTTCATCATAAACTGATCTACTCTCTTTTTTCTCTTCCATTTTAATTCTTACAAATGCTTAATATATTTCTGGACTTTGTTATTTATTGCAACTAAACAGGAAGATGAGTAGCTAGCTTGCAGGGGTCTCTTTAATGTTTTTGCTGAATGGTTGGTGTGAGGTTCTTTAATGAACCTAGCTAGCTTTGGCCCTTTTTATGTTAAGAGACAATATTTGACACATACAATATGCTTGTAGTAATCCCTCTAGAATACCGAGAATGGAATTAACTAATAAAAGTGTGATTTATTGAATAATTTATGTTTTTAGATAAGACGGTGACATATTTAAATATTGTATTAGAGCAGACAGACGTCCTGTGATCGAATCTCACCGTCATTCATATCAAAAAGAATTTTCACGTGCTTGGTCCATATCTATATAAAAAAGAATTTTCACGTGCTTGATTTATGAAAAAAACAGAGCTGCATGTGAGAGGGCATGTTGAGAATGCAATTAACTAATAAAAGTGTTTATCTCTCTCTAACAACATAAGCTTTAATTTAGACGAGACGGTCACACACTTCACCATACACAAATATATGTGAATCGTTCAGATTTCAAAAGTCAGATAGTTTAAAACATAGTGAATTATTTTGAAATAGAATTTATTTATTTATTTGTTTTTATGCGTGATGTTCGATATCCGTATTAGAGTACTGACTAATTATAATTGAACCACTCGATGTTCGGTGCTCGTATTAGAGTAATAACTAATTAAATTTGAATTGCACATTATAGAACTTATTTGGGGTGACACTCTCAACAAAATTTTCTTCATACATAAAGCTCCAACTCAAGACTTCTAAGTAAGGTAGAACAATTTCATTATTGCACCACAATCTATGTTGGTGAAATAATATTTATTAGTAAAAACTATGTAAAAAATATTATCAATCATAATAATTGATGATTCAAGATGTAATTAAAAGATATATATGTTAAGAAGTCTCACATCAGTAAAGTGATGAGAATTTGGTTTCCTTATATAGACTTGGACAAACCTCTCCTTATGAGTTAGTTTTTGGGGTTGAGTTAGGTTCACGTGACGTATCTCAACATGGTATCAAAGTCAGGCCCATCACAATTTGTTGTTCACCAATGTTAGGGCCCCATTTAGAAGTGTTCACGCTCCTGTTGAGGTATAGGCGTACGGGGGAGTGTTAATAAGTCCCACATCGGTAAAAGGGATGATAATTTGGTCTCCTTATATGAACTTGGACAAATTAAACCTCCCCTCATGAACTAGCTTTTGGGATTGAGTTAGGTCCAGGTGCCGTATCTTTACTATATAAAAAATCATGCAATTTTTTTTGTTCGTTTAAATCTCAAAATTTGATGAGAAAGTAATATTTTATTACCAACAATTCAACATTATCATATGCTGAGTACTGAGGGAGTTGACCAGTGGCCACATGTCTTCGTTACACATCAGGGAAAAGACATAAATTCCCCCTCAAACTTATATCGAAAAGTTAGTTTCACACTTCACCTATTATGACGACTTATTACACATCCTTGCTATTTAAAAGTGAATTTAATACCACCTTGAGACACATAATACCACTCTCACAGTATGTGGTGTATTACACTCGCTGCCACGTCAGCACCACGTCAACACCACGTCAGCACCACGTCAGCTCCACGTTATAAATTATAATTTTTTATATTCTTTTTATTTTCTTTTCTTTATTAATTAACTTTTTTGTGTTAACTCTATTTTACACTAATTAATCCCTAACAAATTATTAAAATTCTCTAATAATCATATCTTCTTCCAATCTAAATCCTACCCACTTTTATCCCTAATTTGACTAGAATAATTATTCATTTGAAGTTATATCACAATGTTCTTTGTCTTCTCCGGTGAAGAAACAATCAACCTATCACCACCACAAACCTACCTCCATAACGTCATCCCCTCATCTTTTCCCGATAGCCAACCCATCTCCGACAAAGAACAACCACCAAACAGCTATCCAAGCCACCACAAACAGCCACCCAAAACTCCAAATCAGTCATTGACGAACACTGAATCAAACCCCTTTACCTTACCCCTTTCCGATTTTCTTACTTTTAGTTTTTATTACAGGTGTTTCGGCGAGCTCAAAGCTTCAACCATGGATACGCTTCAATGAGCTTCATTTTTCAGATCCATGACGTTTGAGTAAGCTTTGTGCTTCCAAATCTGAACAACTAACAAATAAGGCAAGTAGGTGTGTGAATATGTACATACAAATATATGAATACACAAATGAAAAGAAATCAATTTTAACTATAAAAAAAGGCAAGTGGGTGTATGTATATAGATGCCTACAGGCTACAAGTATATTTGGGGGTTTTAAGGTCGGAGGCTTTGCTTGTATTTTGCTGAAAATTTGAAGGTGAAAGTGAAAAGATTAGGAGAACAAAGTCTCGAATTTCTAGAATCATTGTGAAATTTGAATTAAAAAATTATTTTTTCTAAGTATAATGATGAAATTGAGTGAAAAATTGTAGAAATATGATAAGAAAAAATGAAATTAAGTGACAAATTGAAAAATTGTGCAAAGAAAAAAATGAAGAAGAAAAATTATGAAGGAAAATAAGAGAAGAGGAACAAGAAAAGAAGAAAACAGGGGTTGGGGTTAAAAAAAATTAATTTTTTGACTTTATTTTCAACCTCAGACGCGCCTAATTTATTTTTATTTTAAATTTTATTTCCACGTCAGTTTTGAGGTGGTATTAATTACACTTTGAACAAGAATAGGTGTGTAATAGGTCGTCATAAAAGTTGAAGTGTGTAACTGACTTTTCGATACAAGTTGAAGGGGGAATTTATGCCTTTTGCCTTACACATCAATATCACCTAATTTAAATTAATGTCCCCTTTGACTAAACCACCCTTTGTTTACTTAAAAAAGATTTTAAATATAAGTATATATAAATTGCCGGAAGAGAGCAAATATGGTTAAATTACTAATTATATTATCATACATATAAAGTATATTTATCATAAATGTTACCTAATTGTATAAATACCATAGATATATACACTATATAAAAATGATTTTTAGTTGCGATTAACATTTTTTGTAAATATTTCACATGTTTACAGCGACATCAAATCTAATAACAATTAATGTGGATAAATGCATTTTTTATTAATATGTATATATATTATCGTTAAAATTTATTTTTACGATAATGTTATCGATGAGATATAAAGCCTTCTTTACCATGTATATATGTTATGTACACTATCTTGTACAAAGATTATAATTCATGCATGTATGGTCAATTATATTGCTATTTCTGCTTAGTAATTTCATAAAATATGATATGTACGTAGTAATATTAAACGCACAATAAATTGAAGATGGAAAAGAATTAAATATAAAGAAGTTAGCATGGCAGGTACCCTACCTACTTTAAGAAGAAAGATGTCAGCCGACAGACACGTAATTTTAACTCTTGGAGTTTGTCTTTACTTTCTTGGAATAGTACAAAACCACACCTAATTTTCTATATATTAAATTAATTAATTCACAACTCAGATATTCTCAGACTCATCACTTCAATCTTAATATTATATGAATATTTTAAATCATAGTACTATTATTTTATCTAACTAATATGATATAGTGATCCTTTGTTTTCACCAATATTCAAGTCCCAACTATATGTTAACCCAAAAGAAGACACAAAGAAAATGTTACTAACATACGTCCAAAACGTAAGTGGGATTAGAAGATACGTATTATAATTGTTCGGATAGGATATGAAAATTTTAATTTTTGAATTTAGAAAATTATGATTTTGATTGAATGTGAGTAAGTTTGATTGGATCGATTTCTTAAGTTCAATTTGATTAATTATTCTAAAAAGTTCTAATTTTGAGCTGATAATTAAATTGAGTTGTTACTTGTTTGTTTTCTTACAAAATAAATATTTATATCAAACTGCATTAATAACTCCTTATTGTCATTATATTCATCTAAATAAAATATTGAGTCGATATAATTAAAAAGTGACTTATTTTTTATGATACGTTTCGAAATTTATATCGTAATGATACAAATAAAGTATACATCATAGTGCTCAAGTGGTCCAAGCTTAGCTAGAATGACTCTCAAAAATAAATAATGTAATATTCTTTCACATAGCTAGGTGCCATATATATGGAGACGATAATTGAGCAAAACTGAAGGATGCTTGGGTTTTACATGCCTTACCGTCAATTTTGTTAAACTGATTATAATATTGGTACAAAAATCGGATTATCAATGTATTTAAACATGTCATTATATTAAGATTATATAAATAGTTATATATGTGGTTCTTATAGGCTTGCATACGACTATCTATTGTAATATAGTATTAGAATTCGTTCTATATCTTAATTATGACTATATCAAATTAATCTCTATATTGCAAATATATTAACGTTAGGATTCTATGTCCTAATCTTAAACTATGTTAGCACTCTCTATAGTATTAACTACTATTAAGGTAGAAATTCCTTATCTAGATTTCAATAAATAAAGGCTTTAAAGGGTCAAATTGAGTCAAATTAAGTCGAATTGCTCATTTGTCAAATCACAAATCTTTTCTTTAGTTTTGTATGGATATGTTTTGTCAATATTTAGGAATCTTTAGATCCCACATCAATTTTCATGAATTATCTGTTCAGTTTTCCCACTGAAAAAGAAAGGATAAAATCAAGAACCAACCAATCAAGCCATCAATTTTTTGATGCAATTGAAAAGTAAAATATATTCTCAAACTATTTTTTATAATATTATCACAAAAAGTCATATTTCTTATGGGTTTCAATTTTTTTTAATAATAATAAAAAAAAAACTTTTTGAGATAATAGTTATGAATTGAGTGACTACCCGAGAAATCAACTCATAAGTACAACAAAAGAAGTTTAAGGAATTTTTCTTTAAAAAATAAATGGGCTTTCAGCCTAGTTGTTTTTCGTACTTTAGTAACCTGGATTAATTCTTTTGAACAAA